CGCGTCTCCTCGGTGTGGCTGCTCCCCGCACGCTGGCCGGCCCTCCGACCCCCAGGCCGGCTGTGCTTTGTGTGCCCAGTGGTGTGAAGCTGTGAAGTCCTCAGGGCGTGGTGGACGGGAGTTGAGCAGGACACGTTACTCCTGACAGGTGGATGAAGGATGCGGGAACGTTTACTCTTTTAGTTATGCTGTGCAGTTGTTGAAAACAAAGAATATTTTGGTGTAGAACCTGAAGTATACACGCCTGTAGTTCGTAGTTCTCAATGAAACCCCGTAGAAAGTAGAGGCTTATTAATTCTTTTTAGACAGGGGTGTATTTCTTCCGTTTGTACCAATGCTTTGTGGTTCCTGAAGATCAAAGCTCAAGGGCAAAGAGGGCAGAGGTAGTCAGGCATAGCTGCTACTCTGGGCAATCTAAGGCGATGTCAGAAGCGTTGCAGCTTGTTTGGCCTTCAAGGTTAAAAGCTCCGTACTGTTAGGTGCTCGGTTACTCAGTGAATTTCATTAACTATGGTGGAGAAAAAAATGTGTATTTTGAAACGGCTTTGTTTTGGACTTCAAATATTTACCATTTGAAGCAGTAACACTTGTAATTAGATAAACATAACAAACTAAACAAAGCTTTACAATTTAGCATGCCAAAGCTTGAAGTAAATGCAGCAATTAACATTTCAAGATGTCTGAATTGAGGTTATTTTTATAACCTTTTTTTTTAAGTTCACAAAGTAAGACTTTCTGGTGTCTTTTTGTGTTTTATTCATCTGCTACACTGTAATTAAATATATTAACATTCAGGTTCATCTGTTCTGTGCTATTATTGTAAAGTAAAAAAAAAAAAAGTTTTAGAAAGTGTATTTTAAAAAAAAATTCTTTGCCTAGGTAGATGCCAGCTTGGAATGGGTCTTAAAACCATCTGGAAGGACTACAAAGTTCTGATTGTTATGGGAACTAGCCTTGGGCTGGTGCATTAAAAAAAAAAAAGTTTTCTAGAATGTATTTTAAAAAAAAATTCTTTGCCTAGGTAGATGCCAGCTTGGAATGGGTCTTAAAACCATCTGGAAGGACTACAAAGTTCTGATTGTTATGGGAACTAGCCTTGGGCTGGTGCATTGGGGGTGGTTTTTCATCAAGTCCAGTCCTATTTTCCAAGTGAAGACAGAGGAGACTGTTCCAGAACCTGGGATTGTGGCATTCGTGTTGCAAAGCAATCAAAAAAATAAAGAAAAATAGCTTAGTGCTATGTATTGAAGGTAAGTTGCCTAATTAGTTGTATCTGTATCTTTGAGGCAGATGAGTCAATTAAATAGAATTTTGTAACAGATGCAGTCTTGCTGCTCTAACTGTAGCCTTCCAGAATTTTATTCTTTTTTGCAACCAACTTAATCTGGTAGCTACGTGGGCTTCAAAAATGCATCATACATCTCAAAAGCTACTGCTAAATCCCATGTGATAAGATCAATTAAGTTATGGTATTGTAAGTCTTAAAGACACTTAAAAATAAACTGCAGTAGCTTCAAGGCAACAGTCAAACTCTTGTGACTGGGTCTGCAGAAGTGTCTTAAGGTTCAAAACTGCCCAGAAATAATTGTGACTTAACATAGTAACATATTTTGTATTGTTAGTAGGAATGGCAATTACAATAGAAAATGAGCAAAATTGGGTATGAGAGAAGTCTACATATCTTAGAGATTACACAGAAATGTAAATAAATGCCCACTTAAGTTTTGAAATAAGAAGCCTGTCTTTCAGAGGCAGAGTTTTCTTAAAAGTTGTTTGGATGTGGAAAGCTTTTGTTTTTGAAGTGCTTGCCTGAGAAGCAGTGCTGAGTAGTTCGGTTATGTTCTCAAGTTAAAACAGGTCAACATCACTATGATTTGGACACAATTCATGTAACTCAATGCAGTTTATAGTGGCCTGTTATTTACAGACCTACAGGTAAAACAGTGTACAGACTGATGGTCAGAATTGAGGTTAACAAGAGTGGATAATTTGTGTATTGTATGCTTGTAGCATATAAAATATTAATAGACTTTGTCAATTAAAAACCATTGGTATACATCCTTATGTGAATTTATTGTGAATAATTAAATAGCAGTTCAAGCTGTGCAATGTTGTCATAAGTATTGAGGTCATAAGGTATTATCATAATACCTTTCTGTTTTTTATTGTAGGTGTAACTAGTTTTGAAACTTTTCATCTGTTAGCGTTGCCAGACGAAGAGATGAAGAAAACTAGCTGGAATAGAAAGAACTTTCTGCTTGTAGCAGGACTGTCACTTATAGGTGTCCATTTTGGAAGCATGCTTGTAAACTATTTTGCAAAAAAGTCTGTTCGATCGCATTCAGAAGCTAAAAAACAAGATAGTCATGAATGAAATGGCTTACTGATGTTATTCATGTGTCAATTTCACAATGCCTCACAAAGCTTCGTTTTGAGAGATGGGTGATGAGCAGTCCCAGGAATGTTGTTCCTGTATGTACTGTTTCCCATTTAAAATAATAAAATCCTGGCTGCAAAGAAGTGAAATTTACTGCTTTAGATTTGAAAAGTGCTATGAATTATAGATCCAAGTAAAAATGAAATCTATTTTGCTTGCCAGAATTAAAATCTTACTTTGAAAATGTCTCGCCTTGAAGCTAAAAAGCCTCCTGTATTTATTAGTGAACCTTTAAGTAAAGATGCAGTTGGTCAGTCACTGTCACTGCTGAGTGGAATATTCAAGTCTTGCTATGGTCCTGCTGGTAGGCTTAAGCAGCTCCACAATGGTGTGGGAGGCTGTGTTTGTACAACTTCACAGTCTGCAGCCATCCTCAGTCATCTGCCTGTCAGCCATCATGTGCTAAGGGTTTTGACAGCCTCTGTCCAGAACCATATATCCCGCTTCAGTGACTGTGGCTTATTTACTGCCATCCTTTGCTGTAGTTTGATTGAAAACTTTAAAAGCCTGAATGTTGCATCTTGCACTGTCATTGAAATAAGCAAACATCTTTTGAGTTTATGTATGGACTACCTCAAATCTGAGGCCTGTGGTTGCCGAGTGCCTGTGGATTTTGGCAGTGTTGAGACTCTTCTTTGTTTGGTACGTAGCATATTAACAAGCAAACCTGCTTGCATGCTTAATAAAGCAGAAATTGATCATCTCAGCACGCTGATTTTAAAGGCTTTTATGTTTACTGTTCCATGTCATGTTGAGACTTGTGCTGTTTTAGGAAAGTGTATAATAGTGCCTGTGAAATGTAGAAGAGTAGTGGATTCTGCAGTTCTTCCTGGACTACTGATAGAAACACCAGAAATTCAATTGGCAAAACCACTTACTGTCAAAAGAACTTGTTCAAACACAATCAAGATAGCAGTTTTCTGTGTGTCCATGTCAGGAGACAGCTTCAGTCCTGAAGAAGGAACAATAACAGTCCATTGTGGAGTTTCTCTAGAAATGTCAGAGCTGAATCAGTTGCTTAATATAGGAAAGCAGCTGGTTGACGATGAGGTTGGCCTTGTAGTCTGCCAGAAAGTTATCCATCCATCCTTGAAACAGTATCTGAAAGAGAACGGGGTCATGGCTGTGGACAGAGCGGGGCTATCTCTGATGGAACCCTTGAGTCGGATGACAGGTAAAAAGGAAGTTGTCTACTCTAAATTTCTCCTTAATGTTAATCTTGTCATTAAAACTCATCTAGGTTGGTGTCATTGCAGAGTAAGGATTCTGTTGTCTGTATCCTACTTTAGCAGCTGAACAAGAGTTGTTCATTTCTAGTCTGAAAACCATTTTTTTAAAGGTGATATTGATCTTTTGCAGGCTCTAATGATGACATAATTCCCATGTGAATACTGCATGAGGAATATCCAATTATAGTAACTGTTTGCAAATGTAGATGATTTTCAAATTCTTATTTGGTGAGAATAAAGTCATTACTTTTTTGTCTTAAACTATCACTAGATTTTTACACCTTGAAAGCATAGTGGTTTCTATTTGTGATTCCCTGTGTAGCAAAAAAATGCAAAGTATTGAAGAATGTGTAATTTTAAAAGCCAAGCGGAAAAAAGTTCATGCTTTATGAAATGAAACAGGTAACTCATTGGATGACAGGAATACATGCTGTTCTCTGATTTTCTTAATTGGACAGGTTCAAAGCCTATAGCTTCCATCCATTTGTTGTCTCCCAGTTGTTACGGCAGTTTGGAGGATGTGTGCCTTGAGAGTTTTGGGTCCAAACATTTTGTACATCTAATTCCTAAGGACACAGTTGTCTGCAGTTTGATACTGTGCAACAGAAATGAAACAGCATGGGATGAATTGAAGGTAGGTAGGTTTTCTTGAAATCTTTATTGAAAATTCATGTATTTAAAGGAGGAAAAAATGAGAAATATAGGTACAGTGAGTTTAGAAACATGATTTTACAGTACATTAATGGAGTTTAGGTAGAGTTTAGGAATACAGTCAAGAAAGCAATTCAGAAACACCCTCGTTCCCAGAATTTCAAAATCCTTGAAGTGCTCATGTTCATTTAATGCCTCTATTTTAATATCGAAAGTTGTTTAGAGGCAAGCATTTTTCACCTGTTCTTGAGGCCAGTGTTTTATAAACATTTTCTTTGTTATTTGGTCTCTGGGAGCATAAAGAAAAAAAAGCGCCAAGCAAAAAGGGCAGCAATACCTGCAGTGGTAGTCAAGCATGACTTTGCATTGAATTGTTGCTCTAGAAGTGTCATTGATATTGATCAACCTTTTTGTATGTACCCTTGTTTTGCAAAGAAGGAATAAAATAGTGTTTTTAACTTCGCTTTTTCAGTACAAATAAAGACAAGTTGTCATTAAATAAATGTGGTTGTGGAAATAACTCAGCAGTTTTTTATCTGCATATAATTCAAGTTTATGAAGTATATCCTAGTTTTTTCAGTGGGGGCAAATTCTATTAATCATAGTATATGTAATGACAAATTCATATTGTTTGCAGCGTGCCTGTGAAACTGCAGAACATGTGTTACAGTTAACAATCAAGGAACCTTTGGCATTGTTAGGAGGTGGCTGTACAGAAACTCACTTGGCTTCATACATAAGACACAAGGTATGTAAGACAGGGTTTTTTTAAAGATGAATAATATACTTAAGAAAAAAGAATTTAAGTTGGATCACTGCTACAGTTAAAACACTTGGTTTTTTCTAGATTAATAAATGTTGCATTTTTGATGTCTAATATAAAAACAAAGGGGTCTTTTTTGAAGCATTTCATGCTAATGACATCGTTTTCAGACATTTAATACTGTATTTGTACGTGCTCATCTTTAGGTATTATAGTGTTAAAATAAAAATGTATAATTTTTATATTATAAGCTAATACAGGACTCAGCTTTGACTTGACTAGAAATCTTTTCTATTGCAGAATAATCATCACATGAACAATGTTTAAAGTTAAGACTGAACTATTTGTTTTAAAAAAGCGACAGTACTATATATGTTTGAAATTATTTCTGCAAGGGTTCTAATTTTCTGATTTTGTTTTATTTTTAGAGTTGTAATCTGTCCACCAGCAGTTTAGACGATATGGATTGTTCTTGGACACAATATCAATTAGTCGCTGATGGCTTTTGCCGTTCCCTGGAGTCTGTAGCTTGCTCTCTGAATCATGATGGTGGAGAAATTCTTACAGACATGGCTTATGGACACTGTTGGTTTGTTTTGCCAGGTTTTCCCTCTGTCTCTAATTGGTCAGATTTAGTTTCAAAATGTGGCTGTGGCATTAATGATAAGAATGAAAATCTCAGCTGGAGGCTTCTACAAAGCCAGTTTGGTTCTCCTTTTACACAGGGCTGCCCTGAAAAGCCCTCAGTAAAGGCTGCTGACTTTCTGGCACTGGACTGCTTCGCTGCAAAGTGTAGTGGCCTACAAGTAGCTCTGGAGACAGCCAACCTGATTTTGGATCTCTCATATGTAATTGAAGATCAGAATTAGCTCTGATCTTATGTGAATTGTGTTGCACAGCAAGATACTTAATTCAGATCAGGGTAATATATAATGTGTTACGGTATTTTAAATGGTTAGAATGTGGAAAATTTTAAACAGTTGGTCATTAAGTACTCTTCTGATTATTAATCTACTGTTCCCTCAATTTTCAAGTGTTTAACATTTGGTTAGGACAGTTAAATAATTAGCCAAATACACAGTGAATCTTAGTAACATATGACAAGTATGGAAATTAGTGCATTCAAAAGAGTGAATGACACTTCAAAATTTGAGTTTCTGTATTCTTTCTGGGAGTTTTGAATATTCTCCTTCAGCAAACAAGTGCTGAATTTAAGGAACACTGGATGATATTCCCTCTGCATTAAGCAAAGTTTTGCATGTTTGTTAGCTCTGTCGCATCTTAAAAGGAAGGGGAAAATGGATTCTCTTGTTGAGACAAAATGTCAAGAACTAGAATGTATATAGTCTCAGCAAAAGTTTTACACCTTCAAACAGACTTTGGTATTGCAGCAGAATCTTATCATTGCTATTTTTAATGTTGTAAGTAAAAAAGCCCACTTGAGCCACTTCTCAAATTTTGTTTTTAAAATCTTGTCACCATAAAATATATGCACTTTGTTTCTAAATGGATTATTTTAATTTCAATGTTGATTTATTTAGCAAACTATTAAATATCAACCTGGAGATCTTAAGGTAGCAGGTAGGTAATGGAAGACTTGAAAAGAAATGGCAGAAGGTGTGGAAAAACTTTTCTAAAGTTTACCTTGCTTGTCTTCTGTGGAATGCAGGGCAGTTTATAAATAATGATCTTTCATTTAGGTAAAGTTGCAAGAAAGAATATCCCACTCACCATTCAGTTAACTCTGACTGTGCATACCGTCTTTTCTTTTAACAAAGTAAGGCTTTAAGCTTCTCAGGCTTTTGATCTTTAAGGTTGTGGACTAAGTGATTGAAACTTTTTCTCATTTTCAGCTTGCATGCAAGATCAAAAAGGGTGTTACAGTTTTTCTTGAACTCATTTTCTTTGCCCCTTCTCCCTCTTTTCAGTCACAAGGGACAAATCGCTCATGATGTGCTTTTCCAGAAAGCATCCAAGTTACTTACAGAATATTCTGCTTACTTCTTTCCTGGTGTCTCAAGATTTTAATAGATTTACTGAGTATAAGCAGTAGAATTGTTTTGTGTAACTCAGTTTTCAAATATGTAATTAAAAATGGATCTTTCCAGACCTTTTGTACAAAGTTCTTTTCATTTTAAGAGCGTAAATAATAATTTTCTTACTGGAAAGAATTAAAAGTTATTTGAAGTTTTATCTTCCTGTGACCTGAAATGATTGTTTCAGAGGTGTAAGGCATTTGTGGAATAATGTTACAAGGGTTGAGATGGAGGCTGTTCAAAGTTGGTTACTAAAAAGGCTGCTTTCATAATCTTGATCCTTCTGTATATGTTGAACTGTATGAAAACCAGGAATAATGAAGTCCAGCTGTGGTGTGTATCTTAAAGCAAAGAAGACTGTTGGTAATATTTCATCTAATTATGAGTCTCTAACTCAGGGTATTGAATTAGAATATTTTGATTGCTATGATAGCAGCTTGTTGTGCAGTGCAAAAAAAATGCTGAGTTTAGTGACTACAGCTGTGCAGTGAAAATTAACATAATATTTAAGTAGAAGTAGTTGCTAGTGTTCTTTCATCTTGGTATCTGAAGGTCGGTTTGTAGCTCCTATAGAAACATTATTAGCTCTAAAATGTTATTAGCTGTGATTCTGTTTAAGAAGGTTTAAGAAAAATCACACATGAGAATATTGTGGGGAGAAAAAATATATTTTAAGTAGATAAAAACTCATGTGTACCTGAACCAAAGATGGTTTAATGTATAAATGTAATAAAAATGAATTTTCATATCCCAGTGTGACTGGAAAGGATAAATAAGCAGCTGGCACTGCTGCTTTAAGGGCAGTTTAGACTCCGTTCTCAGTTGTGCTACAATCTTCCTGAACATTTCGTAGTTTGTGTTACCCTACATTTGGGTAACAAAGGAGAAATACCACTTAGGATACTGCTTAAAATGCAAGTAAATAGAATTTTGAGTCTCAATCCAGGAGCAACATTAAAATAACTTTGCCAAACTCGTGTTTCCTGGTAAAAATTTAGGTGGCAAAATGGTGGCTTTTCCCCCTTGTTTTGAGTTGTAAGTCCTCTGAGAAGCCACTGTTGGTTTATTCCTGCTCCCCTTGGAATTAAAAGTTTTTTCAGTGGCAGAACTTAGCATTACACAAGTATTAATAAGAGACAAGTGTTTTCTAATCATGACTTCATTCATGTGTGTTCACTTCCACAGATTGCTCAGAGGCTGTTAATTTAAATTTTAATAATTTTACTGGTAATGCATAAGAAGTAAGAACGTTCATCTCCAGCTTTTCTGCTGCATTAGTGCTTCAGGCCTCGCAGGAGCAAAAAAGTGCTGATATTCAGGTCAGCATATTTAAGTAAGGTGCCAGTTTAACGTAGTCACTCCTCAGTTCAGGATTTCTGTTTTCATTTGGTATTTCAGTTCCCATTTGCTATTTAAAACGTCAAAGGGAAGGAAGGTATGAAAATGCTGATTAATTTTGGGATCTTTAGTACTTCTATTATTGTGTCCTATTTCAAGTGGATATACCATCATCCATTAATCGTAACTATTTTGGCATTGGCAAAAAAATCAGGATATGTTTCTCTCTTCTGCTACAGATTTGTGAATTTGTAGAGTCAGTCTGAGCCATATGTGGAGTCTTTCTCTCTAGAAAATGAGAAAAAGGATAACTAGTCAGGCACAGAGATTTGTGGGTGAAGAGTTCTAAGCTCCAGATGTAAAATGAAGAACTACTTGCTGCACATTAAGAAAGAAATAGATCATTCAAAGCCAAGTCACATCCTTGCTAAAATATAATAATTTCATTAAGAGAATCAGAACCACTAAGGTTGGAAGACTTTCAAGATCATCAACTCCAACTGTCAGACGAACACCGCTGTGACTACTAAACCTGAAGCACCATGTCTACTTGTTTTTTTAACTCCTCCTGGGACAGTGCCTCCACCACCTCCCTGGGCAGCCTGTTCCAATGCCTCACCACTCTCTGAAGAAATTTTTCCTAATATCCAATCTGAACTTCCCGTGGTGCAGTTTGACCTTGTTTCCTGTTGTCCTATCACTAGTAACCAGGGAGAAGAGGTCAAACACTTGCCTCACCACAACTTCCCTTCAGGTAGTTCTAGAGAGCAATGAGGTCTCCTCTGTTTCCTCTTCTCCAGGCTGAACAGCCCCAGCTCCCTCAGCCTCTCCTCATATGACCTGTTCTCCAGCCCTCTAATCAGCCTAGCTGCCCTTCTCTGCACCCTCTCCAACACCTCACTGTCCTTTCTATACTGCAGTGCCCAGAACTGCACACAGTACTCCAGAGGCAGCCTCACGAAGACTGAGTATTGGGGCAGGATCACCTCCCTGGTCCTGCTGGCCACACTATTCCTGATGTAGGCCAGGATGGTGTTGGCCCTGGCCACCTGAGCACACTGCTGGCTTAGACTTTGGCCAGGATTTATGTAGCCTCTCTAAATTAGTGTGCTAGGGAAAACTTCCCTATTCTCCCTGTATATTGAATCTGGATGCATTTTCTTTTTCTCTGAAATTTCAGCAACAGCATGTTATTGTTGCTAATGGTGATCTAATTTATTGCCTTACCTCTTTGGTGTGCACGTCAAAAGAAATGTGACTTTAAAGCCCTGTGCAGGAAGGGCTGAAGTTCATTGTCAGACATCTCAACAATCCCTACTGTATTATGTATGGCTTCAAAGTCTGTGCTCTGCTTGTGTTCCAGACCTGATGTTCATACAATGCTGGCCCTTGTAGACAGGGTAGAAACATTTATGAGTTTGGGAAGCCTAACCTTACTGTATTGGTAGCATATTTTTTTTATTTTATTTTTTTTTACATTTTATTTGGGCATTTGTGGGCTAACCAGCTGGTTATGCTGTTAGACCTGTCCCAGTAAGGGAAGATAGTATTTATTGTTGTCAAATCTTACCCAAAACCTGAGCTTTCTGATTTTACTTGAGCCCTTATTTTGCTTTGCTGAGTAGCAAAATGTAGTATTTGTCACATTTTCAGCACTACCATGTGAACTGAGTCATGTAAGTACAATGCTCTTCAATCTCAGAAAAATCAATATCCATGAGTCAGTCAATGTCGTAGGAGGAACTTTTAACTGGATTTGCATTTACTACTGTTCTGAAGATGCAGAAACAGTCTGGCTTTATTGCAAAGAAACTGCCTCCAGTGTGGCATCATCTGTACAGACAAGGTTTTTGAGAAATCAGTTGCTAGTCTTGTTTTGGTAGCTTTTATTCAGTTATGTAAATACCCGTTATTTCTACCTGCTTGAGACAAGTTGCACAGTACTAATGACTTTTTGGCCAAGTAACACTCATCTTAAACTTTCAGTTAAGAAATATCTTTACTTTTTGTCTTTATACATTGCACTGCGTAAAATAGTCTTGAGAAAAAAACTCAAAACTAAACACAGATGTATTCTTTATGCTAGAAGCAGAAGTATAGTCACAGCGTATGTAGATAAAGCCACTGTGTCATTAGTCCAGACACAAACTTAATTGCAGGATAGGTTCCAGAATTGGGCTGCGCACTTTGTATCTTCATCTGTGCTGGCTGCCATTATTTTTTACCTACATTTAGATTCAGTATCTTGTAAACATACCTTCTGTAGAATATTTTTTTTTTTTACACCTTACTATAAACATCTTTATAAACTTTCCAGTCTGCTTGCACAGGAAAACCTTTTGTTTGAGCTTTTACCATGTGCCTTGAAGGCCACAGCTGTGCACTGTCTGGCTTCTGCAAAATGATTACTAGTGTCTGTTATTTTTTTCTCCTGACGTCAGGTACACACCAAACACAAATTAAATACTAGCTGCTTATTATTATAACACTATTAC